TTATTTTTTTATTAATCATATGAAATATCCCATTATATAAGTTATTTTTAATGAAGATTTTAGACTTTGTATTCTTTTATCTCGTTTCCTGACAGTATCAATTCCATCATCATCTTCACTCCAAGGAAAATCGACCGGAATAATCGGATACTCTCCAAAATTATTTTTTAATGCTTTTGAGTTCTTTTCGACCCATTTCTGTCCACAATCAGTGATAATAATGATACTGTCAGGAAACGAGATAAAAGAATACAAAGTCTAAAATATTTAACTGATGAGCTTTATAAACTTGTTAAAGAGGGGATTATACCTCAAGTTCTTAGCGCGATCCAGGAGATGGAGAACGACCCTATATTTCAAGACATTATTACTTTTATACCAGTAGTTGGAACTTCATACAAACTGATTTCTTCTGGTGTTTACTATAAGATGGGAAAGTCAGATTTAGCAAAACAGCGACTTAAACATGCAGCTTACGGGGCTGCTTTTAGTGCTGGTGTTGGTGTTGGTGTTGGTGTAGGTTTTCGTGTTCTTCGAAATCTTGATAAAGCTAAGAAAGTTGTCCAGTTCTTACCCAAATGAATGAACTTTTTTTTTTTATTATTATATTTAATATTATTCAAAATAAAATTTTTAAGTTTCATATATATACATGTCCGTGTTATACACTAAAAATTTATACTGAGCTGACAAATGATCAGTCCTCTTTTTTTTAGAATTGAAAATTATAAAATTAAACACCCAAACATATCTTTATTTGTAAAATAACTATTTTCAAATTATTAAATCGGAAGGGATATAATAATTTGGAACCTCCGAACTCTTTTTTTTTATTAGTTAAAAAACGATAATTTTTTTTTCTCAACATTTTTATCCAAGCTTAGTTAGTTTAAAAGCAAGATGTTGTTAACTTAAAGTACATTTCAAAAGGGCGTGAATTTAGTTTACTACTAAAGATTAATAAATTATTTTTTTAATTTTTTATTTAAGTAATAGTATTTTATTTATTTATTTATTATTTATAACTTTACAAATTTAAATTTAATTAAAAGAAGATACCAATTTATCATATTTTACTTGTAAACGTTAACGTTAATACTCTGCTATGATTCTCTAATCAGTTTTAATAGCATTAGGGTCAAGTGCAATTATGTTGATGGAATCCCATGTTTTTGCTCTACTAATTGCAACATATGATTGTCTAGGAGCGAACATTTGTGAATCTTATGAGATTGTAATATCTGGTAATGTTAGCCTTGAGTTTTATGAACTGTTAGAGAAAAGACATTTTGAATTAGAAATTGATGTTTAAATACTTGTTGGCCATTATAATTAAACCTATCAGTAGTTTTATTAACTGTCACATAACATATGCCATTTTTTGTTAAAAATGCCACATTAATAGATTGTTCATTATGAACTTTCATTATTATTCCAATTGAACTATTATTCATATAATGTATTATTAAGAAACATGACTCATGATCCCTTTTGAATTTGAATAGTATCTGAAATATTTGTATATTTTCTAAAATGTTTATTACTTTTTTTAGTATCCCAAAGTAGTTTATTGAGTTGACCCTATGCTATTGAAATAAATGGATTGTTAAATTTGTCAATAGGCAAATAATCCATTATTTTTTTATTAATCATATGAAATATCCCATTATATAAGTTATTTTTAATGAAGATTTTAGACTTGTTGAAGAGTTCAATTTTCTTTTAATTTTCTCAGGATTCATCAGTTATTTGGTTGAATATAATTTCTTGTAAAATTTGAAAGAATTATAAGTTATCAGAATGTCTTTTAGATATGAAAAAATTAGTAGCATAAAGGATTCTCAAGTAATTGATTTAAATACAAATATTATGTTTACTAGTGATAATTATACCAAATCTCAATTAGCAAAACCATTATTCCACTAAATAATAATGCATTATTATGTAATTCACAGAATATTTGACTAATAAAATCTAGCAAATATGATGAAACTATATAAATTTTATCAATTATAATAATATTAAACTTTCTTAATCTTAATCTTTATTTAAGATTATTTATTATTAAAGACATATAATTATTTAAATTAAGCTTGATTAATATCTCTAAATATATTGTTTTATATATTTTATATAGTAACACTAATTAGTATCATAATCAAATAAATTTTATAGGTATTTATTAAGTATATCGTTATAAGAAATCATACTTCTCTTCTGGTTAATAAATCTATGTATCATATTAATAATTTCATCTTTACATCTTAAATCAAGCATTAGATTAAGAGCTTTTTTCATTTTTCTAAACCTATATGCATATTTAACTTTCCTCTGTAAACATTGTTTAATATCAGTTGTAAATGTGCTTGGTATTTTAATCTGATTAAAAATGTGTAAATCTGTAATTAAAATTTCATTATTTTATTAAAATTGTATTACAACCTCAATACTTTCATTTTGTATTATTTGATTGCATTGATCTTATATATTTTCTATATACCATCACATGAAAATAAGACTAATATTGAATTTAGCTAATTTAGAATTCATCGTAACTTGAAAAAAATATGAACATATAAGTCTGCAGTTAATTATAGCTAAGTAAGTGCATAAATAACTACCATCTATTAATAAAATAATATAATATTTGTAAAATTTGGTAATACCATAGAATTCTCAGATTTTTACAATTTCAGAAAGTTGTATTACTTCTAATAAAGAAAAGAAAGTAGTTTGTATTCTATCCAGTTGATCTTTAATAAATCCTTTATTATAATTGCATTAATTATTATTTTATTTAAGAAATTGATAAACCAATTAATAAATTTATATATATCATATGATATCAATGGCTTTTTTTAAATTTTTTAATACATAATCAAAGTCTAATGTTAAATTTTAAAGTTTATACATTTACTATTTTAATAGAATCTTTAGAAATAATTCTAGTATAATATAATAAAGAACTAAATATTTGTTATTGTTAAGCTGATAGAATGTGTGGAGTTAAATATTTTTTTATTAATTTAACAACCTTAGAAAATATAAGCTTAATTATTGATAGTGCTTAGTTAGTTATAAGATTCTAAAGATATGCATTATGGTGAGCTCATTATGCTTCATTATTTAATAATTTTTGAATTTATTCATACAAATTATAAAGTAATAAAGTACTACTAGTGCTTTCTTTAATCAAATGATTTATGACTTCAACTCTTTAGGTACTCTAAATACTAGCAGTAAAGTGCTTGATTTTGTAGCATTTTGCCTATATTTGACAATAATTATTTAAAGTCTGATTAAGATATTTTTGAGTTTGAGGATATTTTTCAAAAAGTCGTATCTAATGATAATAAAAATCATGCAAAAATAAACTATTTTGGATATATAAAAATTTTTTATAAAATGATTGATATTCTCACTTTAATTTACTTGCAAAATTCTTTCATAAATTTTCTTGAATATGAAAAATACAAAGAAAATGTTGAGTTTTAGATAATTTTGACACTATTACATTTTAATAAAGCAAGATAATATCTGATAATAAACAAAGAAGTAGATTATTATTAGTTGTTTAAAAAAGATAATCAAGAAATCACTCATAATTTCAACTGTCTCATCTTCTGATAGATACTGAGCAATAAGATAACTTTTAGTATTATTATCAACTACAACTATAAGAATTAAATACATATTAAACCAATTAGTTTGATATGTATTATCAGTTTGTATAATATCATTATATTATTAAAGATATTGATGCTGATTAGGTGATATTCAAAATAATCCTACAAGTTGATTATTAAAAGAATCAAGCCTTGTGTGAATAATCCATCTAGATTTTAGATCTTTTAGATCAAATAATTTATTGATATATTTTGTACATCTCCATATCAATTGGTAAGTGATGATTTAAATTTTTAAATCATATTATAAAGATCTCTTTTATGAATATACTAATCAGGAAAATCTGCAACTAATAATGGATAGATTTGTTTTGCCCCCATATTTTTTTTAGTAATATAAAATTTGATTTTATCTATTATATCATTCGATAACTTACGATACTTAGAAATATAAAAATTTGCATCAGCAACTATAAAGTGATTATATTGTCCAATAATACTTGTAATGCCTATTTCTATTGATGATTTAAGTTTAGTAAGATATATATACCATGAACATATAATTTTTTTAAATGGTCTTTCCTGCTGATGAATTATATTAATAACTTGATTAGAAACTGATTTGTAAAAAAAACTACATTCATAAGTTCTATATCACACAACTCCATCATCTTTATCAACTTCAACACGTATTCTTCTTAAAGAAAAGCCTACATATTTTGCATATTGATTAAGTTTAATTTTGCATCTTTCCGTGTAAAGAAAAAAGTACTAACTTTGATATAAGCTGTTATTAAAGAAATAAAACTAATATTTTCATTATTTGATTTGGTTATTAAGAATATTTGTATTATTATTATTCATATTATATGATAATAAAGTTATAAAAACAAGTGAAAATTAAAGAGTATAAAAGTGTATTAAGATATAAAATTTATAAAGAAAATGAAAAAATTAACGTTCATTAGAAGAAATTTAAAACAATAAATATAAATAATAAGTTATGATAAAATAATAAATCACATTACAAATTTACATAAAAATCACGATATAATTCTAATCACGTAAAACTGATGATAAATGAAACATAAATATCATGTAACAAATCCAATCATGTGATACTAGTGATAATCATCACCTGTTATTTTAAGTAAATACTTATTATCAATTATATAATACAAATTATATTTATTATCAATAATAATAAATAAATTAATATTATTATTTTAAATTTTTTGATTTATTTTTATTTTATAATTAATTTAATAAGCATTAATAATTTATATTTAATTATTATAATTTAATTTATAAATAA